ATAATAAAGGATTATCTGGTAGAATTTGTTCAGGAAAACGGGATAGTTAATGACAATCAGCATGGGATCAGGAAAGATCGTTCCTGCCTAACTAACTTGCAAACTTTTTATGAGGGGGTGAGTAGAGACATCGATGGAGGGAGGCTGGTAGATGTGGTATATCTGGATTTCTCAAAGGCTTTTGATACGGTACCACACAAACGCTTGCTACACAAGCTGAGAGCTACGGGCATAGATGAAGTGGTGTGTACGTGGATAGAGAACTGGCTATGGCAACATGTCCAGAGGGTATCTATAAATGGCACCTTTTCAGACTGGGCTAGTGCAATGAGCGGTGTGACTCAGGGTTCTGTGCTGGGTCCCATATTGTTCAACTTATTTATTAATGACATCGGGGAGGGTGTTAACAGCGATATTTACGTGTTTGCGGATGATACCAAATTGGGAGGGTAATAGACACTGACTTAGACATTATAACATTACAGGAGGACCTGGATAAAATAGGGGAGTGGGCAATAATATGGCAGATGAGATTTAATGTCGATAAATGCAAAGTAATGCACTTTGGAAATAAAAATAAACAAATGGGTTATACTATTATGGGTATGCCGCTAGGGAAGTCAGAAATAGAGAAAGATTTGGGGGTCATTGTAGACCACAAACTGAAAGGTAGCTTGCAGTGCCAGGCTGCTGTAAACAAAGCTAGTAGGGTTTTGTCCTGTATTAAGAAGGGGATGTATTGCAGGGACAAGTCTATAATTTTGCCACTTTAAGATCATTGGTACGACCTCATCTGGAGTACGCGGTCCAGTTCTGGTCACCAGTACTAAGAAAAGATGTCCTTGAGCTGGAAAGAGTCCAGCGGAGGGCAACCAAACTAATTAGGGGTATGGAGGACCAGAGCCTCCATACCCCTAAACATGTGAACATTTAAACATGTTCACATTGGAGGTGAGGAGATTAAGGGGGGATATGATTTCCATGTACAAGATGTTCAATGGTGGCAGCAACATTAGCGACAAACTATTTAAAATTAACTCCATTACAAAAACTAGAGGCCACCACCTAAAATTGTTGGAAATAAAATTCCAGCACAAGGGGCGAAGGGGGTTCTTCACAGTTAGAGCGGTTAGGGTCTGGACCTCACTGCCGCAGGCAGTGATTTCAGCTAAGAGTGTGGAAATGTTCAAGAAACTTTTGGACGATTTCCTAAGGGACCGTAATATACAGGGGTACAAGTACTCCTAAGAATGAGATCCTATAGGTTGGACTTGATGGACTAATGTCTTTATTCAACCTCAAATACTATGTAACTATGTGACCTGTTATACATCTGCAGGGGAGCTTTTCACCTCTCCTTCTCCTATCTCAAGAAATGCAAAGCCAAACTCCATCCAGGCCACCCGGTAGACATTTGGCATCTCACCTATCCCACTGGGCATGACTTCACTTTCTTTTCTACACTACATCAGACATACTCACATCTAGACTATTTCTTTATTACGCACGAAAACCTAGATAAAGTCGTAGAGACTTCCATAGACCCACACCTTCTGTTGGACAACGCCCTTGCTCTTCCCTTGCTTCCCTATCCTTTATCTTCCCACCAGCCCCTTTTCCCTAACCCCGCCCTTGCAACACAGTTTCCATCCCTCTACACGACCACCCCAAAACTTAAACACTATTACCATGATAAAACTGTCAGCATACTGTATTTTAAGAAACGAGAAAACGAGTAAGGCAACAGTGTATCTGTACTTCTTACCTGCATTCACAGTCTGAATGCTGAATAACAGACATGTTTGTGTATTCCTCCTGGGGAGATTTTTTCCTTAAAACCTGAAAAAATTGTAACAATTGTGTTCACTGAGTGTTTAGAAGTTTAGTTAAATATAAGCATATGAGCAAACTGATTTTTTCCTGAGACTTTAGACAGACATTCTATTAAAGAAAAGAATGTTTAAGCTGTTACACAACCATTGACCACATGTAACACAATTTCATGCCAAGTATGGATATTCATTTCACATTAAAAATCTTTTCTTTTACAAATATATGATCTTACAAGAGCACTGTTATTGTTTTGTTCAGGTAATGGCCTTTTTAAAGTAATCCTTTTACAAACCTGGGCAATTCAAACTAATTATAAGGTGGATAGCAAGCTTTACCTCTATGCAGCATGTATTATTTATTTGGGGCCAGTGCTGAAACATCCACATCACCATATGCAATAATACTGAGAAATTGAAGCTTGTAGAACAATGTTACAAATGTAATCCAAAAATCACTGCGCTAGGAGTGAGTGTCTAAATAACTAATTGGACCAACCGCAACAATGTGTGTGAGTGAAAATATTATGTAGCAAGTAAGTTGCGCTCGGTCTAAAATAAAAGTGAATGTTAAGAGTGTGAATACATAAACTCTCAGTATTAACGAAAAAATGAAACAATTAATTAAGTGCTAATACCGGGAATCAGTATCTCGGCTTGTAACAGTGAATTGCAAAAGTGAAAAAATTAAGTGCAAATACCGGAAATCAGTATCTCGGCTTAAAACCGTGAAATGCAACAATGTTGAATAAGTGTGTGGAAAAATCAATTACAGTCCAGTATATCATTAAGTGTTTCTGTGTGCTGAGCGCACTCAATGTAGCCGAACAAACACTCTGATGATGTGATCATCTACCAGGACATATTATAAACAATACGTGTGTGGTTGATCAAATGTTATAAACATAGTGTCATATTAAACGAATATTAAGTATACAGTGCAGCTCGGTGCGCTCTGATTCCTCAAAGAAAAAAAGTTTATACGGGGTTAATTGTCTAGATTACTAGCAACAATATAACAAGCAGTCAGTTCAAAGAGTTTGCGGTTTACATGGAATGGGATTACAGCGGTTACTTTCCTTGTTTCAATGGTGCCTGAGTGGGTAGTCAGTTCATTACCCAGATCCTCCTTTGACGCGTTTCGTTCATTCACTTTTTCAAAAAGGAGTCATAGGAGTCATGAAAAAAAGGAGTCATAGAAGTCATGACTTCTTTTTGAAAAAGTGAATGAACGAAACGTGTCAAAGGAGGATCTGTCTTCGCCGCTCACAGCTGAGATTCTGCTAATAACCCTAAGCTCGAATAGTTCGTCATTTCTGTAAGTGCATTTGTGTATTTTAAAGAAATAAATCTTTTTAATGACTGCACTTAGAAGGTCCCGCCTCCTTTCTCCGTTTTCCTCCTGGGAGATTCTAATAGGTTTTCGCCGCCAGTCGGGCGGTGAGGAAATCCGCTACAGGAGGAGAAAACCATACCAGATTGTCTGATTTGGAGAGAAAAGAGGGTGACGGATCACTGGAAACCCGTATAAACGTTTTTTCTTTGAGAGGAATCAGAGCGCACGGAGCTGCACTGTATACTTAATATTCGTTTAATATGACACTATCTAGGTGTGTGTACTATATCTCGGCTTAAAACATGGTTTTAAGCCGAGATACTGATTTCCGGTATTTGCACTTAATTTTTTCACTGTTGCAATTCACTGTTACAAGCTGAGATACTGATTCCCGGTATTTGCACTTAATTAATTGTTTAATTTTTTCATTAATACTGAGAGTTTACGTATTCACACTCTTAACATTCACTTTTATTTTAGACCGAGCGCAACTTACTTGCTACATAATGTTACAAATGTATGATCTATTTTTAGGTTACTTTCAACTGGGCTTTAAGTATGCATACTTATTTAAATGGCCATCAATGCAAAATGGATATACCTTTACTGGATGATGATAGGCATTTCTCTACTTTACCATGTGAAAGTATGACATTTCACAATTTGCCACATGGTAAGGTAAAATAGCTTCACTCACACACTTGCATTTTTTTTCTCTCCAGCCAGTAGCATAATGAGAACCAGTCAGAAATTAGCACTTGTAAGAATCTAACAGGGCTATTCACTAAAGGGTGACAAGTTTGGAGAAGGCAGGAGAAGTGAACAATCTAAGACAACATGGCTAAACTGGAAAGTAAGGTGAATTGGATTTTTTTTTTCAAATCGCCTATTTTGGCCTAGATTATTCACTTCTCCTGCCTTCTCCAAACTCTTCAACCTTTAGTGAATAGACCTGTAAATCTCCACTCTTAAACTCTTTCCCTCTCCCGCTGCTCCTTTTAGCCAAGGGAAGCCTAATACTCAGAACCTCTGGGTATGAAGGAGCATGAGATTCACTCCCCTTCTCCCATGTAACAACCTAGCACTGTCACATGGAGGCTGGCAGAGAATTTGCAGCTCAGAGGACACTTTAACAAATTGGTTTGGAGCTTATGAAAGTGACCTTTTTGATTTGCTCTGCATAGGCAAAGCACAGAGTCACTTCAAAGAAGTCCTTGAGGTAAAAAGAATGCTCTGTTTAATACACCAGGGCACCTTTTTTAACCATACATAGCAGCTTTACCATTTAAAAAAATAAAAATATGAAGAGAAAAAGTTAATACTTATACTTGCCTTTCACCCTGCTTCTGTACTTCAAGGGTGGCATCACGCTGCTTTCAGCGAGTTCCCAGAGAATCCCAAGTATACAAAATCATGTGAGCGGACATGCCAGCACAGTGCAAAGATTGTGGTCTCGCAGGATTTGCTCAGCATTCTCTAGGAATCCCTTCAACTAGGTGCCGTGTGAGGAAACTGGGGTTTTAGGAAAGTATATTCAATAAAAAAATTTCCCCAACAGTTTTTTTTCTAAACTGTAAAGCCTTAGCACAGTAATAGTAGAGTATTGCATTGTCTTAACCATTGATTAATGTAGTTTTAGTGATACCCTTTATTGCCTAACCAAAATTATAACTAAAGGCAAAATGTTTTTTGTAAATTTGGATAAGGTGGTGGGAAGTTAGAAAACACTGTCAAGTTATTGCTGTCTGTGTTCCTGTTGGGGAAATTCACTCACTCTAATTCTCCAGATCGCCAATGTCACAAGAAATAAAAGTGAGGGGAATTTCAAAATGTTGAGCTGCCACCAGAACAGTAATAGAGGTAAATCTTCCAGTGGGAGACTTCCCGTGGAGACTGTCCCATGGCAACGGCTCATATACACCGGCGCTAATACATGCTGATAGGCATACAGTGCAAAATATGTCTGATTTTGCAGCACCCAGGAGTCTCAGCTGCTGCATTTTTCTGATCATAGGATTGTATGGGCAGAAAATGCTGTACATACGCATGTAAACACCGCTAACAGTGTTTGCACGTGCATGCTATATGGGTGTTAGTTTTCAAGCACAAAACGCCTACTCTCTAAGAACTATTTTCTCCCCTTACATGTTCCTCCTTCCACAAACTGCAGCTATTCCCTCATATGTCCAAGCCTGGGAGAGAGATCTCAAAGCTTCCCTGACTAAGGAACAGTGGGAGGAATCCTAGTTGTCTATTGTGAGAAACTCTATTAATATTGCCTCTCGAGAAAACTCATATAAAGTACTGTTTCAATGGTACCTGACCCTTGCCAGAATGTCCATTTATATACCATCTTATTCTCCACACTGCTCTGGACCATGCTCCACATATGGTGGACATTTTACAAGGCCCAACGTTTATGGAGAAGAATATATCACTACATTAATGTGTTTTTAAACGTTCTTTGTAAAAAAAAAGAAAAATAGTGCTGCAAACCTCAGAACCTACCACGTGTCCTGTGTGCTTTTCTTTTGAAGGCTGTCATTGCTTGGCATTCTGTATCTGTAAATCCTTTCCCCTCTGTTTCTAATTTTCAGGTAACTATGCTGACTTGCAAGGACTTATAGAGTTCCGCTGTAGCCACCCTTGCTTATGCGCTCCCAGCCAGGACTACAGCCTGATGTTCCAATGCTGTGTACACCAACAAGCATCGGCAACTCCGAAGCCCAGGACATTAAGCCACGCAAGTACAAGCCAATTGATTGACAGCGGCTCTTGAGACTATTTTGAGTTTGGAATTATAGACGGGACACTCATGCACGTTGTTTACATGGCACTAGGATCAATTAAACATGTAATGCTGATGAGGGTGGTCAGGTGACCATTCTGTTTAGTGCTCAGTGCTCTCACTCTTATGAAAAGTTGCTTGTCCACATATGAGAAGAAAACATTTTCATTGGGGAATGTTTCCTAGGTTACTGCAAATATATTTATAAAAAAAGTTTAATGCTTTAATAACTCTATTCTAAACATCAACATCCCAAAAATGATGCCCTCCTCTTTCAAACTTCAGCAAATGTTAACAAAAAACACAACTCTAGCAAATATTTCCAAAAAAGTACAACTCTTGATTTCCTATATATCGGCAACAGATAAAAAGACATCTTCATAATTGAAAAGCTTATAGCCATACTCCTAGATAGACATAAGACATTTCTACATTTTGACAGTTGGCAGCCATGAATCATCTACACCAACCAATTGGGCCAGGATCCTTCCTTCTATACCAAAACCCCTTTTGGTTGGCCACAATAGACCCCCCTTGGCCTTAGCCAACTTCTTAACAAAAGTTCTACCTCTCCCTTGCCCATCTTCCTCCCATTCCCACTCTATTGATAATTCTTCTTAACTACAGTCACCATCTCTATTCTTCGAAAATTTCCTTAACCCCCCCTTTTTTTTCTTCTTCCCTTCACCCCCCTCCCGCCCCTGTATAAATTCCCTGGGTTCTTTTACCTTCTGATGCTTTCCCACGTACCTCTCATTGTTACCTCCTCTTCATCCCCCAGTTTGGGAATACACATACCAGTTTACCCCACTATTGTGTCCCCTGAAACCCCTCTCCAAAGTATCCTAATACTCATCCTATATTCTCCCACAGTTATTTCTCTTGACAGCTAAAACTGCGATCTTTTGTGATCCACCTTCGAGATACATTCTTACCATTTATCTTCTCATTTTAAAACAATAGACATCTTGTAAAGGAAAATGCTTTTGGCTTTAGATATACTTTAAGTTATTAAAGATGAAGGTTTTCAGAATGACTTAGATCCTTTCTTCAGACTTTATGTAAATTGATTTTATAAAGCCTGAAGAAGGTATCTAAGTCATTCTGAAAGCTTTCATCTTTAATAATTAAAGCTAGCCAATACAAGGTATCACTAAAACTCCAGACTTTCTCTCTTAGCAAAGTGAATTACAATACTAGTACATTAGTGAAGCTACTATAGGCCAAACGGCTCCTTTTGAAATAGCAAACAACAACGGCAGATAGAAAATATTTTTATAGGGCATCAGCTATATTTGCAAAAGACCTCTAAACCTGAATACTTTAATAATCACCTCCATTTTTACAATGTGTGACTGCAAGGGAAAGCAGCTCTGAGCTTCATCCAAACAGCAACCGGCACAGCGCTGGACTGACACACATGCTGGCTTGAAGAGGAATTCTGAAAACTGGGGAAACTCGTGTAGGAGATTCAGAAGGACCCATCGAGGTTGGCACTTACTGCGGTTATAGATATCTGACCAGGCCAGTCCTAAGAAACATACATCAAAACAACTGCCTTATTTATTATTATAGAAAATATTCTTTATATTAAAGTTCTGATTGTAGGCATTCAAAGAATTTCATATTCACACTGAGCTAATCATACAAAGGATATGCATATCTGATACGTATTAGTGTTATGTGATGCATTTTATGATCTACATTCTTGTCATGAACATATTTTTAAGCTCAATAAATGCAAACAATAGTTGACAATAGAGATGGCCAGCCCTCTGAATCCATTCACTAGTAATAGGAAGTAACAACAGAAGGTGTAATCTTTAGCAGATTTTTACTGGGACTTCAGCCAAAACTTTTTTTTCTTAGTTCTGGATATAGTGGAAAAGAGTTTTTCCCCCCACTGTATGTATAACTGGAAAAAAAGGATTGTCTTGAGATAATTCCTTAAAGTGCATGTAAAGCCTAAGCCCTCATTCACACTGGAATCGGCTAGCACATACAGCTCCGTGCTGCATGAAGGGCCGTACCGAGCAGCTCCTGGGAAGGACAGGTGCTGCGTGTGACTAGTACGCAGCCCCCGTCCTTCTCCATGGGACTATGTGGCCGTACAGCCCCTTACGCTCACCCGCCCTGCACATCTGTGCGGGTGAGCGTACTCGTACGCTGACAGGATGGATCCTGTCTGTGTCCGAGCCAGGAAACGCGCACCCCTACCTGCACTTGAGGTGAGCGTAGGGGGGCGTATGGCCGCGTAGTCCCATAGAGAAGGACGAGGGCTGGGTACTAATCACACGCAGCACCTGTCCTTCCCGGAAGCTGAGCGATACGTCCCTCCATGCAGTACGGAGCTGTACGTGCGGGCCGATTCCAGTGTGATTGAGGGCTAAACTTTTTTTTCAGCATCTACTATTCTCTGTTAGTTGTTGCAAGGATATATCTATATA